TATTCCATACCAAAGGCTATAGTTTTTGATCTTCATCAATAAGTACTTCAAGTCCTCTTCACTTTCAGCAACAACATAAACGGTAACTATAAACTGGTATTTCTACACCCAAATAAATAGTTCTAACCTTGAAGAGCTTTTCATTCTAATCTCAAACTTCCATCTCGCATATGTACTCTACCCTAGTTTCTTGACAACAGCAGGCCCTTTACTCATGCTCCATGATTTGCCCACCGGCTGCCAGTTTCTCACACTGTGGTACCTTGCATATTATCTGTGATGCTGGAAGCTATGCTACTGATATTTCAAATAACAGTAAGCTCATTCATAATGGGTAAGTCTCAGCAGAGTTTGCAGACTAAGACAGACTAGGAAAAAGGACCTAGGGATCTACAAAAAAAAAAAAAAAAAAAAAATTGGCCAGTGAAACCTTATGAATAGGAATAGAACGCTGTCTGTTATAGTGCCAGAGAATGAGCCCCTTACATTGAAAGACATTCAAAATAAGAACAGGGAAAAGCTGCCTCCTCAAAGCAGAGGTGACCTGAATTATATGGATGGAGTACAATTTTGGGGACCTTCATTTGCTGATGTGCCATGACTCAAAAAGAGAGAAAAATTTTCAAACATCCATAAATAATAGGAACATGAAATATATGAAGTATAAATCCAGGAAAATTTGTTGTCCAAAATGCAATGGTAGGCATTAGTGAGCTGTTATTGGCCATTTTTGAATCAGATAATCACATGGACTACTATTCAAGGAATGGCACGGCATTCATTGCCATAAAGAACATTTCAAGATCTACCCTGAAGCACAATGCTGTCAGTGTCAGAATAATGTCCTGTACAAGCCTCTAACGATGACCAGTTAACATGGCTGTCGTTATTCAAATTTACATACCAACTACTAATGCTGAAGATGAATAAGTAAATGATTTTTACCAACTTCTGCAGTCTAAAATTTATCAAACGTGGAATCAAGATCTATTGATAGTCATCGAAAGGTGCTTGAAATGTGAAAGCAGGACAGAAAGAAGAAAGATCAGTAGTTACAAAATATGGCCTTGGTGATGGAAATAATACCAAGACCAAAGAGTTAATCATTGGAAAAACCTTTTTCCAACAACATAAATGGTGACTGTACACAAAGACTGCAACAGATGGAATACACAGGAATGCAAAGCGCAATTGTCCACTTAGAACAAGGCCAGGGGCCGAGTGTGAAACAGAACATCAATTGTTTTTATGCAAGTTCAAGTTGAAGCTGAAGAAAATTAAAACAAATCCACAAGAGCCAAAGTATAATCTTGAGTATATCCCACTTGAATTTAGACACCATCTCAAGAATAGATTTAACACACTGAACACTACTAGTAACTAAAGGCCAGACAAGTTGTGGGATAACTTCAAGGATGTCACACATGAAGAAAGAAAAAGATCATTAAAAATGAAGAAAAGACCAAAATAGTATCAGAAGAAACTCTAAAACTTGCTCTGAAAGTAGCTCAAGTGAATGGAAGAAATGAAGTAAAAGAGTTGAACAAAAGATTTCAAAGCTTCTTGAGCTGCCCTTTGAAATCCTGTTGAAAAGCTGTATGATTGCCTCCTCAACTGGACATAAACATCAGAAATCAACACTGGAATCTTATTTTGGCTTGATATTTATAAGTTTCTTTTGTGTTATTCATTTTTCTTCTCTCTCTGGAGGTGTATGTATGTAGGTGATCCCCTAGGATCATCCCCTATTTTATTCCGGTCCATGTACTCAATTTTTCAGAACCAAATCATTTTAATGTTCATATTTACATTGTCTAAAAACGTTGTATAAAGAAATAGTATTTATATCTAAGGGTATTTTTTTTTTTTTTAAATCACTGTTCTAACACTAGGAGGTTGAATTTCTAGGGATCAAATTTTTCACACATTCAATAAATATTATACTTATTTATGTTGTTGTTATGTGCCGTCGAGTCAGACCCGACTCATAGCGACCCCTCCTTGGGTTTCCGAGGCAGTATCACTGCGGAAGTAGATTGCCCCCATCTTTCTTCCGAGGAGTGGCTGGTGGGTTTGAACCTCCAGCCTTCTGGTTATCAGTCAAGTGCCTTAGGCACTATGCTACCAGAGCTCCCTATACTTATTTACAGTTACCTTGAATATACTAAATAAAATCTCTACCTTTTAACAAAATGTAATTTCTCCCAATTTTCTTTTACCAAGATTTTTTCCACTATAACAATACACATAAATTAATCTATGCTAAAGTGGGATCCTATTCCATCCTAGTATCTTCCACAGTGTTAACCAGCTACTTTGAATTTATTACTAAAAACATTTTTTAAATTAATATATATCAATATTTAAAACCTGAATTGAAATCACAAGCCAGAATGTAAGAAGAAAAGAGTAGGTAAAACAAAATCATTGTGACAAACACATAATCACTAATGATTTTTAAAGGAATAAAATAATGCAGCTATAAGGAGCATGTACAAATTAAGAAAACAAAGAATTTTAAAGCAAAGGTTAGTACAGAAATTACTTAAATATATTTCAAATATCTAAAAGGGAGACATATATTTTAATTAGCATCAAATAATAAAGATGAAAAGAAACAGTTATGTTTCTTTTTAAATAAGCATTTTTCTTTGTTGGCAAAAGCCCACTTAAATAACCATCCAATGGAAAGAATAACATTAGGAAGACTATGATGAATAATGGTTGAAATAATTCTCTATGTTCTGTAACTAAATACCCGATTTTTACCATGGCTTTATATTAATAAGTTTCTTTTTTTTTTTGGTTCTTGTTTTTGGGTTGGTTGTTTTAATGATAGTGATGTAGTGATGATGTTACACATGTAACTTGCCTGAGTGAGAACTGAAAGGAACAGAACCAAAAGCATCTTCTGGAGGGTGGCTATGTGGAGCAGAAAGTGGGTCTACACTCTTATCTGAGGATGCTCTCTCCTCGAGCCTGTCTGCAAAAATAAGATGAAACAAAACGAAAAATAAAATAAAAACAAAATGGTCTTTAAATTTTACAAAGTGTTATACAGCATAAATAAAAGTGAAAATTAAACACAATGACAGCCTTTTTGAAAAAAATATAAACTTTAGGGGGCAGTCCTGACTTTCATACTTATTTGTTGCTACACAAATAAATTTAACAATTTAATTTCAATGTTAGGTTCCACAAAATAAAAACAATTACCCAATAAATAACTAGGTCTGGTTCTTTTAAATACCAGTTGTCTTCAAATTGAACATACTGGAGATGAACTTAAGATCAGCTTACTAAACACAATTGTATTTGCCAGATTTTCTCTAAAAATGCTTATAAAAATACTGCAGAACACTAGAGTGGCCAATCATCCATAAAGTAGGAAAATCCTGTTTAACAACAGCAATAAAAAGTAATTCACTGTACTTTATTATTCATTTTTCACATTAATTTTTAATTATCAAACCATTAGCACACACACATACACACAGATACAATGATACAGACATTTTCCTCTAGTGGATGAAAAGTCTTAATGACAGAGTTGATTCATTTATCCAATAAATATAGGAGCAACTAGTGTGTCCCTACAAAGCTCTGGTGGTGCAGTGGTTAAGGCATATGGCTGCTAACCAAAAGGTCAGTGGTTCAAACCCATCAGCCACTCTGTGGAAGAAAGATGAGGCAGTCTAATTCCATAGAGATTTACAGCCTTGGAAACCCAGTGAGGGTCGCTATGGTTCGGAACTGAGTCAATGGCATCACATTTGGTTTGGTTTCAGAGTGTGTTCCATGTACTGTTCTAGGCACTTGGATATAACAACTAACAAAACAAAGACCCCTACCATCAAGGAGTTTATATGCTTGCATGGAAAAACAAACAAGCAGCTGTAAGTATAAGAAGAAACATATATCTATAAAGAAAAATGTAATTCAGGGTAAGGAAGATAGGGGAAGCACAGGTTGACTGACTGCAATAATAAATAGAATGATTCCACTATTTACAAAGTAAGATTTGAGAAAAAACTTGAAGGAAGTGAGGAAGTGAGTACCTGAGGAACACTCCAAGCAGAAGAACCGGAGCAAAAGTTCTAAGGCAGGAACAGGCCTGGTATATTTAAGGGTACAGTTGATGGATGTATCCTAGTTCCCTAGTAAGTTCTGCATATGAAAAAAAAAAAAAAAGTTGCCATTGAGCTAATTCCAACTCAGGGTGACCCCATGTGTGCCAGAGTAGACTACACTTCATAAGGGTTTCAATGGCTGAATTTTCAGAAATAGATTGCCAGTGGATTTGAACCTCCAACATTTTGATTACCAGTTGAGCATGTTAACCATCTGCAACACCCAGGGACATCAATTCATACTCGTCATTGTTAGCTGCCATCAAGTCGAGTCCAACTCCTGATGACTCCAGGGCTACCGAGTAGAGCTGCTCCATAGGCTTTTCTTGCCTGTAATCTTAACAAAAGCAAATCCTCAGGTCTTTTCTTCCACGGTACTGCAGGACGGGTTCAAATTATCAAGCTTTACATTAGCAGTTGAAAGCAAACCATGTGCATGGGCCACCTAGAGACCTTCAATATTTAGGCTAGCTTATATTCACAATCTCTATCAATCAACTCTGCTGGTTTCAACTGAATTCTAAAAGATTGTAGGGCAGAAGCAGGGGAAATCCAAATATAATTGGAATTCTCTAAAAATGACTCATAACTTCAGGGTGGAAGAAAAAGTCCCAACTTAAAAAAGAAGCACTTCCTAGAACAGTGTTTTTCAAACTTTGACATGGATTCCAATCACTGGGGAACTTTGTAAATGGCAGTTTCTGATGGGCTGAGTCAAGAATGGGTCCTCAGATTTTGCACTTCAATGAGCTCACAAGTGATGCTGCTACTGCTGGTCCAGGAACCACACTTTTGAAGTGGGAAGTCCCGATGAGTCTATAATATCCTGACTATACATTCATGCATCACTTATTGTCCACAATACGTTCTGTGAAATAGGATGTTATGATTTGGACTCATAACTAATTTTCTACCTTCATGTTATAACTTTCTGTTTTTCTTTCAGATTGATACTTTTGCTTTGCCTCTTGCTGCTGCTATCACAAAGCACTGGTTTTACTGCATTTGGGAGCCATGATGCACTGCACAGTAGTATTTTCTAAAGAAACTTAATACAAGATAATACTGTAACACTCAAACTATATATACGTGATACACAAGATTGGATTGTGCTGCCTACGAGTGGAAACATCCTGTTATATGGTAAACTTTTTATTGTAAGTAGGGAAAGTTCACATGAAAATAACAATAAAAGGTATAGTACAATACATACGAAAGTACAGTACTATCAAGATATACACATGATAGGTTATATGTACCGTACCATTACAAAAGGAGCCCTGCTGGCATAGTGGGTAAGGTATTTGGCTGCTAACCAGAAGGTCAGCAGTTCAAAGCCACCAGCTGCTCCTCAAGAGAAAGATGAAGCAATCTACGTGCATAAAGATTTACAGCCTTGGAACCCAACAGGTGTCTCTATGAATCAGAATCAACTCAATAGTTTGGATTTTTTTAGTAACACTGTATGCCTGGAAGCACAATCACTCTATATAAAAGAGACATGAAACACATGTGTTGCATGCAAGAAGCTGTTGTGTTTGCTATTTCTGGTTACATCCACTATGCTCCATTCTCTGACTGGGATTTCTAAACTCTATTATAACCTTATGGGATCACTAATGTATTATGCGGTTGAACATTATGTTGCCCAAATGGATGTTATACGGCTCATGACTGTACTTAATTATTCATATTGATGTGAATTTTTTTTAAAAAAAATTATGACAGTGAATACAATTATCAACTTTTATGGCTAAGACTGTGACATCCACATGAAACTTTGGGTTGTTTAAATTTTTACTTAAGAAAGTGTCATTGAAACCTTTCACTATTTTGTTGAGGCACTGATGAGTTAATGAACACATCTGACATCTGTACAAACAAAACTTCTCAAACTTAAGTGCTACTTTTCAAATCCAATATTAAAATGGGTAACAATTTTTATTTTTGGTGCTATTTTTCAAGGAATTACCTTTGTACTTAATTTAGGAAATTCATATCAATAACAAATGATCACTGCCTATTTAAAAAAAAAAAGATTTCATATTTTGTTTTCAACATCTATTAAAGAACATCTGGTAGCATAGTGGCTAAGGCACTTGACTGCTAACCAGAAGGCTGGCGGTTCAAACCCACCAGCCACTCCTCGGAAGCAAGATGGGACAGTCTACTTCCGTAGTGATACTGCTTCAGAAACCCAAGGAGGGGTCGCTATGAGTCGGGTCTGACTCGACGGCACATAACAACAACAACAACAGTCTCTTATCCTCTTGTCCTGGCAGAAATGCAGCTGAAATGCTCCTTGGAAATGAGAACGACTAGACTATATCTTAGCTACTTTGGTCATGTTCTCAGAAGGGACCATTCCCTAGAGAAGGATATCATGCTTGGCAAAGTGGAGGGTCAGCAAAACGGGGAGACTCGCAACAAGATGTATTGACACAGTGGCTGCAATGATGGGCTCAGGTATAGCAAGAATTGTGTGGATGGCTCGTGACTGGGCAGTGTTTCATTCTGTTGGACATAGGGTCACAGTGAGTCAGAACCAACTAGATGGCACCTAAGAACAACAACAACAACAAATCTCTTACTGCATCTTTCTGAAAAAAGTAAGGTTGGAGAATAATTTATGTAACAAAAACCCAAAAAACAAACCTACTACTGTCAAGTTGATTCTGACTCATAGGGACCCCTCTAGGGTTTCCAAGATTGTTGGAAGTACAGTATCTCATCTTCCTCCCCCAGTTTATGTAACAAGGAGTCCCTAATTTATTGTAGTGGGTAGTCACAATCAAACCTTAAGAACAGGCCAGAGATTCACTGTTATAGATAGAGAATACCTACAGTTACTAATTTCATCAGGCCCTGAATGTATTAATAGAGTAACTGTAAAACCAGGGATCGGTCTTCACATCAGAGTGTTGGCTCTACCCTCATCCTTTCTCCATGTCCCAAATTCTGGTGTTCAAAATGGTGAAGATAAAGTAAAGAGGGAGTGGGACAGAAGGACAAATGGAAAATATTGTCTTTCCCCATATAGTCAGGATGATAGCCTCAGTATATCAATATCCAAGAGCCTTCTGTCTTTCAAATCAAGACAAAGATTTGTAGATACTTAGATATAAATTTGAGACCTTGGGTTGTACAAATAGCTAATGCACAGCTGCAAACTGAAAGGCTGGTGGCTCAAGTCCAGCCAGAGGTGCCTCAGAAAAAAGGCCTGGTGACCTACTTCCAGAAAATCAGCCACTGAAAACTCTATGGAACACATTCTACTCTGACAACATGGGAGCCATGAGTCAGAAGCACCTTGACAGCAAATGCTTCTGGGTAGGTCTGAATTAAGACCTTATTTCCTTTCCAAAGCATCTGTTGTTGTTTTTGTGATATGCCATCAAGTTGGACCCAACTCATAACTACCCCTCCTTGGGTTTCCAAGGTGGTATCACTACGGAAGTAGATTGCCCAACCTTCCTTCTGAGGAGTGGTTGGTGGGTTTGAACCGCCAGCCTTCTGGTTAGCAGTCAAGTGCCTTAGGCACTATGCATCTGCATCACATAAAAAAGCCTATATAAAATATGGCTACCTGGACTCTCCAAAGGCCTAATCAATCAGATTATCTGAGATAGGGCCTTGAAAATCTGCATTTTAACATATTCTCTAAGATTTCCCTACTGTACCTACCAATGGTTACCAGCTTTTAAAACTGTGAAGTTATCACTAATGTTAATTAAATTCTCATGTACTGGTGTATTATCTCCATCCATCCACAGTAAATTCATGGAAAATGTATAAACAACACCAAGCAGTTATGGTAAGTATACAGATATTATCATATTTTTCATAAAGACTCCCATAACTAAAAATACAGAGATATTGTTCTATGTAAAATTCATTTATCGAATTATTTCAAAACAGGAATCAGAAAAAATTCATTATAAAATGAGTCATGTTCTCATTGTTTCTCAAAAACATTAAATCAAATTTCAATGGAAGACTTTTAAAAAAATCATTTAGATTTCCAGAATTCTCATGATAATCAGGGTCCCAGAGCAAAAAATACAAAATAAATATACACATTAATCTTCCAAACTATCAATTTTCTATAAATACAAACTAATGAAATGGTATACAGAGCTACTTTTCAAAATACATAGTCATCCCTAAAATGTATTTTAGTGACATTTTCACACAATTGGTTTTCTTCAGCACAAAGCCTGAGCTTAATTTATCCAATATAAGAAACTTACCTCCTTCTGCCTTGCCAAAAGGACTGTGTTAGTGAAAAAGGACAGTTTCAAGTATTTTAATTGATACATATGGCACAAATACAGTGTTCAAGACTCCTAGAAACCAACTGAATTCCATTAATATCAATACTAAATTTTAAATACTTTTTAATTAAAAAGTCAATTAGGCAGCTTATATGGATAATGGTCTGTTCTGCAACATGTTAAAGTTTGAAAGTGCAGTCCTCATAATACTTTTCAAGTACTAATATACTTGAAGTTTTGTCATTCTGCACTGAAGAAGGAGTAATAGGTCTGAATTATCTAACGGAGATGAGAGCTAATGTTTTACAATGAGCTAATTATAGACACGGATGTTGGTATATGTTTCATTCTGTGGCTTCACAGAGAAAACAATATATTTAAGAGAATATGAAGGCAGCCACAGTCTTTAGTTTAGTGCTTTCTATCTTCCTTTAAGTTATTCTGATGTAATTTTAAACAGAAAAAATAAAGACCAACAAATCCAATGGCTACAAGCAAGAGAGATTTCATTAACAAGTACTGGTTTTAATTACCATATAAAGCTACACCACTATTTCAGCAGATGCAAGTTAAAAATGTTCTCAGATACTTGCATTCTAATTAGCGTTTAATGTATTAAAAGTTATGGCAATTAGATTTCAAGAAATTTACATACTAATTAGATATTTTGGTATAAAAGACAATGAAAAAGTTCAAGTTTTAAAAAATCTCAAGCTTTATTACTAATGCTTACTCTTCGTTTAGTGTTTTGGTTTTAAATAGTAACAGGTAAAAAAAAAAATTGTCCATGATAAATAATTACTCAGTTACACTGAAAACAAAAGCAAGAAAAAAAGACTCCAGTTTAGGTTATAGGATTAAGTAAGTCTCTTTGTCTCACGGTATAGGAAATCAAATGTTTTCTTAAATGTCAACTCCCCCAAAACATACTTTGTTACCAATGATTAATATTTGGGAATTGTATTGGAAGCACACTTGCAGATAATTGTTGTTGTTGTTGTTGTTATGTGCCGTCGAGTCGGCCCCCGACTCATAGCGACCCCTCCTTGGGTTTCCGAGGCAGTATCACTACGGAAGTAGGATTGCCCAACCTTCCTTCCCAGGACAACAACAACAACACTTGCAGATAATACACACTGATATTTACTAGGTAATATCTTTTTCCTTTTTCTTTAAATAAAGGACCATATAGAATATTAAAAGTTAAACATCAAATGGCAATGTATTATTCTAAATAATCATTACATGAGCAATGCCTATATTTTTAAGGACCATATATAGGTATTCAGTTTCTCATTGGAAAAGCATTTCAAAAACTATCAATTATTTCAAAAAGAACTTTGGAAAATTGTTAATATCTGAGATAAAAGATACAAATACTCTACTTCAAGTTTCAAATACATAAATAATTTATTCATTTTGGAAGCATTGTTAGTAAGAGAGGAATCAGTAATATCCAAGCATCAATTGTCACTGCACAGTTAGTCTTCTACTGAAATGTCAAGGTTCTAGAAGTCTTTGGCCACCAGTGTAATTTAGAGCGTTATCAAATATATCAAATATTGAACACCTTTTTGCCTGTGAGTAAAAAGTGTACTACACAAGACTACATGATTTGATTTAAATAAAACTTTGGGAGAAAATCTTTCTATAGTATATTCTAGAAATTCTTGATTATTCAAGAAAAAACAGACATTTTTGCTTCTCCTTCCTCACTGTCACCTGTTACTTCTGCTTCCAAAGTGTGTACCCACCAAACCCTATATATTGGTTTTGAATTGAAAGTTGAGTAAACTTATAATTTAGATTAATTTTTAAATGTTAGTTAAAGGCCAATAGTCTCTTAAATTAGAGCCTAAAGATGCTATAGTAGGTGAGGAAAAGGGATGTGTCATTTATTTATTGACTGCCCAGACCCTTTAAAGACTTTATTTTATTTAATTATCTTAATAATCCTATGAAATAGGCACCATCATTCCCTTTTTATAGATGAGGAACACTCAATGGTTTAGTGACTTTAGTGATATTACAGCCTAGTTAAGTAGCACTGCCAGGGATCAGAATTCATGCTTTCCAATACCATGTGCTGATTAAAGAGGGCTAGACTTTTAACAGTTATTTCAGTAGCTCACAGACCATCTCAGCAGTTTTCCAAATGGCTAAAGTTGCTCCACGTTTGACCTTCAGATAAAGCTCTTCTTATTTTTTTTGTTTTGTTTTGTACTTTCATTTGGAATTTATTATGTTTCCATAATTAACACTGGAATGAAAATTGAATTCTCTTGGCATACACATGTAATACACACAAATTACACATAACTGTTATCTGACCATTAAGTTTTAAAGTAAATAGCTGGTGAAGAATTTTACATGCTAAACCCAATTTATATGAAGATCTATATATTTATGCTATATATTTATGCTATTCTAGCCTATGCCAAGTAAATAAAACAACTGGATTATCATTACAAATTCTAGCGAACTTAGAATAACACATTTTTAAAATAATACATTTTTATAAGGTACAAGAAAATATGAATACTTTATCCATTCCATGAATACTTTTATCTATTCCATAAATAAAGAAAAGAAAGGCCTAGGCAGTCAATTACTCAAGGAGTAGAAAAAAATTGATTTACTAAAATCCTTAGCTACTATCCTCATAAGAACACATGAAAATGAATACTCTAATTTTACCTTTTACTTTTAAAATAATCCTATAAACTATCATGACTGGAACTACCCTCCCCCAACTATGTACTACCATCCCCCACAAGAGAGATACTTTCTTTTTATTAAAATCTTGCCTTTGGGGCCACGCAAAGCATAAATTCTAGGAAAAATGCCAAACAAAAAGAGCTGTGATTTTAAAAAAATGTACTTTTTAAATAATAAGATGTAAGATTGGTTTTACCAAAGATAACAAATCTTTATTAAAAGCTCAGAACTCATTTTTTTATCTGCAATTAATCAATTTAATTTCTCTTCATCATATGTAAAATACAAATTCACATCCCAAGTAACTATTCTTACATGACTTTGGAGCATTTATAAATTTATAAAAATATATACCAATTTGGAACAAAGCATCACATTGAATAAATGTTTTCATAAAGCCAGTTACCTAAAAATAAAATAGAAAGTTGTTATTTGCCATCGAGTAGGACCCGACTCTCAGTGACCCTTCCTTGGCTTTCCAAGGCAGTATCACTATGGAAGTAGATTGCCCAACCTTTCTTCCGAGGAGTGGCTGGTAGGTTTGAACCGCCAGGCTTCTGGTTAGCAATCAAGTGCCATAGGTAGGCACTATGCTACCAGAGCTCCCAAACAGAAAGTAGGAACTATAAACTAGAGACTATTAAGACCTTGTTTTCACATGCAAAAGCGGAAAGCAGGAGGATACATATCCCTCTCCACACAAACACAAAAGCCTCCAACAAATGAAAATTATCTACATTTTGTAGAAGTAAGTTTTTGCTCTTCCTTCTTCCAAAAAAGAGCTTTTCTAAAATATGCATGGCGAGGCCTGACATATATGTGTATTTATATTAGGTAGTTTAAGAAAAGGCAATGACTGCAAGTAAAAACACTGATATATCTGATTAAAAGTGGAAAAGAATTTATTTAACTTTTGCCATATTAGAACAACAAAGCAGCCCTTTTATGTGACCACTCATTAATGGGACATTACAAAACATTAACATAATGTAGTAGGTACCCCATGTTTTCTTTCAGGCATTTTCAAAAGGCATCTCAGACCCACAGTATCTTCTATTGAGTGTGCAAGAAAACAGAGCTACAAAATTACTAGTAAGGCAAGAACATTTAATTTTCCATGTTTTGGAGATACTCTGAATTTAACATTCATGGATATGCAGTATTTAAGTGTTAGGGTATCAGCATACTATCAGTGATTTTGAGTTTTAATAGCTACTGTCAAGCAATTGATTTCTAATGCACACAACATATATATATATATATATATATAAAGAAAGTGGCCTGAATTTTGCCCTCAAATGCACAGAAAGAATTTTCTATATACCATCTCAAAGTAGTCTTTGGCCTTGTTGAATAATTATAGAGTTGTGACTTTACTGTGAAGCAAAATAAGCCTTCAAGTGTCCCTTACTTGATCTTAGAAGGTCAAATTCTCTGTCCAAGAGTTCCTCTTCTGTTAACTTGGAGAAGTTATCCTCTCCAAAAGGATTCCACCCTGACATATCAGGTGGGTTGCTGATGTTCTTCTGATTTGTAAAATTTGCAACTGCCTCTTTATCAGCAATTGACCTACAATAGTAAGGGGAGAGGAAAAAAAAAAAAAAAAACACACATTAGAATTAAAAAAAAATTAGTGCTCTATTTCATACTTTATAAAATGCTGAGAAAAACTAGATCTTTTTCACATGTGAAGATGGCAGATAACAGCATTGGATTTAGAGAGCCTCCACCTGGGATCTGAATCCCAGCACCTCCACAGGTCACAAGCTATCTACCTTGGGCAAGTTCCTTAACCTCTCTATGCATCAGTTTCCTCATCTGTGAAATATGAATAACAGTATTCATATTTTATGACTATGTACCAAATTACATATTCCGTAACAAACTCTCTGAGTTTGAGGCCAACTCAATGGCAGCTGGCAACAACAGCCTCACAGAGGTTCTGAGACGATTCAATAAAAACATAAAATGTACAGCATCTGGTACAAAATAAGTACTCAGTAATATTAGCTACTATTATTGTAGTGAAGAAGCCCAAATCACTACTGAATAAAGTGATCTTATATACTAGTTATGCTGAGACACTACAATTTGTTTCATTTTGACAAAGCTATTCCCTGCATATAGCTATGAACAATCGATGAACTGCGAGAAGCGCCTTATGAACTATAAAGCAAGATTTGGGTTATTTTGTAAACACCAAATCCTTCTTGGCACTTAAAGTATTTAGAGTTGGAAACCTAGGACTACTGGTTCTAGAAAGTTACCTTAAGGCCTCTGGTCTGTTAAGAGGTGAGAGTCTAAAAGGAATACTTAACTCCAAAGTGCTCAAGAACCGCTTCCTAAACACAACTTGCAAAGATAGCTGAACAATGAAGTGATATAACAATGTTGTCAAGTTGCTTTAATAATTCAGATCCAAATCCTTGAACATCAGTAATGGAAGGAGAATCTCTATGTACAAAGAGGTAGCTTGATTTTTTAAATATTGACCCATCACGTTAAATTAACACCTTCCCTTTGGCGGCTCACTGGCATTGCCACCACATAGGCCTTTAAAACAGAAGAGGGGACAAAAGTTGTCCATTTAATCCCCTAGCCCAAGCCCCTCAGTACGGCTAAGTAAAGAATGAAATGTTTAAGTACTCATTGAAGGCTAGAGTATAACAGAGAAAAATAAGCACAGTAGTTTATCTACAAGCAGATTGTCTTGCTTAGTAAATACAACTTTGGTATCTTAATAATAAATATAATACAATTTAGAATCCACTCTAGGATTCAACAGCCAAGGTCTAAGCATGCCTCTATGTGCCAGAGTCCCATCTCTCTAATCCCAAAAGTAACTTTCAAAGACTTTCAGAGGCCTTGAAACACATGGCAAAACTCAAAGAAAGATGGGCATTTCCCCTCTGCCTGTCAATGATTTCTTTCAGAACACTGTGACTCCCTATCTAAATCACCCTCTTGCCGTTCCCCTGGATGAATTTATGCTTTCTTCTTGGCAGACTACTCTGTGGGCTATTATCTTAAAGAGGAATATAAATTAATAGCCCATAGAGTATAGTTTTAAAATGTCCGCAAGTTCTTTGACATTCCTCCCTTCAAAAGGTGGACCCTAATTCCCGTGGCTGTGAATGTGGGATACATCTAGTGTCTCACTTCTAACAAACAATGTGGTAAAGGTGCCAGTGTATAACTTCTGAAACTAGCTCATAAAAAGCACTGCAGCACCCTCCATGCTTTCTCACTCTCGGATGATATGTGCTAGAGAAAACCAGAATTAATTATTCCTTTCTCTCTTTTGGAGACATCTTTTGGACTCAGACAACTGAGTCTTCCTGCTTAAAACCATGTGAGGGAGCCACCATGAAAACAGATCCTCTAGCATTAGTCAAGCCTTCAGAGGACTGTAGTCCTCGTCAACATCTTGATTAAAATCTCTGAAGAGACCCCCAAAACATAACTAACCAGCTAAGTAACTCCTAAATTTCTAATCCAAAGAGCATATGTGTGAAAATGTTTGCTGTTGTTTTAAACCACTAAGTTGTGTGGTAATTTAAACCACTAAGATATGTGGTAATTTATTATGCAGCAACTACAACAAAAAAAATATATGACTAACACAACAGTGTAATCCTAAGAATTCTGATAATATATGTTGTGTTGTTGCTTTGGTTAGGTGTTGTCTAGTTGGTTTTGACTCATAGTGACTCTATGTACAATACAGAAGAACAAAACACTGCCCAACTCTGTGCTATCCTCACAATCACTGCTATTTTTGAACCCATTGTTGCAGCCCCTGTGCAAAGCCATCTACAGGATCTTCCTCTTTTTTGCTAACCCTCATTCTATTTTGCCAAGCACGATGACTGGTCCCTCCTATTAACATATCCAAAGTACGTGAGGTGAAGTTTCACCATCCTCACTTCTAAGGAGCATTCTAGCTGTACTTCTTCCAAGACACATTTGTTTGTTCAGGGTATATTCAACATTCTTCACCAACACCTAAATCCAAAGACATCAATTTTTCTTTGGTCTTCCTTATTCACTGTCCAGCTTTTGTATGCATATTAGGCAACTGAAAATACAATGGCTTGGATCAGGCATGCCATAGCTCTCAGTGTTATTTTTGCTTTTTAACACTTTAAAAGAGCTCTTTTGCAGATCTGTCCAACGTAATTTGTCATTTGGCTTCTTCACTGCTAATTCCATGAGCATTAATTGTGGATCTAAGAAAATGAAATCCTTGACAACTTCATTCTTTTCTCTGTTTAAAAAGATGTTGCTTCTGGTCCAGGTCTGAGGATTTTTGTTTTCTTTAAATGGAGGTATAATTCATACTGAAGGCTGTACTCTTTGAACTGTATCAGTTAAGTGCTTTAAGTCTCTTTCCTTTTCAGCAAGCAAGGTTGTGTTATCTACATATAGCAGGTTGTTAATGATTCTTCCTCCAATCGTGATGTAGGGTTCTCCTTCATATAGTCCAGATTTTCAGATTATTTTGCTTAATGCTACTGAGTCGATTCTGACTCATGAAAACCCAATCCAAGGCTGTAAATTTTTACAGAAGTAGATTGTCTCATCTTCCTCCCACAGAGCAGCTCAGCATACACACTGAGTAAGTATGGTGAAAGCATACAACCCTGGCACACACCTTTCCTGATTTTAAACCATACAGTATACTCTTGTTCTATGTGAATGACTATCTCTTTGTCTACTTACAGGTGCCATAGGAGCACAATTAACTGTTCTGGAATTCCTATTCTTCACTATCTTATCTATAATTTGTAATGATCCCCACAGTCAAATGTCTTTGCATAGTCAATAAAACACAAGTATATATCTTTCTAGTATTCTCTGGTTTCAGCTAGCATCCATCTGACATCAGCAATCATATACCTCTTTCCGTGCCCTCCTCTAAATGTGGCTTGAATTTCTGGCAATTGCCTGTCCATATACTGCTGCAATAATTTTTTAATTATCTTCAGTAAAATTTTACTTGTGTGTAATATTAAACATATTGTTTGATAATTTCCACATTCTGATGGATCTTTGGAATGGGCATGAATATGGATCACTTCCAGTTCTTTAGCCAGGTAGCTGTCTTCTAAATTTCTTGGCATAGACAAGTGATCATCTCCAATACTATATCCATTTGTTGAAACATCTCAATGTGTATTTCCATCAATTCCTGGAGCCTTGTTTTTCACCAATGCTTTCAGTGCAGCCTGGACTACTTGGCTCCATAACACTGGTTCTTGATCATATACTACCTCCTGAAATGGTTGAACTTCAATAAAATCTTTTTGATATAGTGACTCTGTACATTCCTTCCACCTTCTTGTGATGCTTCCTGTGTTGTTCAGTATCTGTTCTCATAGAATCCTTCAGTATTGCACTCAAGGCTTGATATTTTCTTCAGTTTATTCAGCTTGAGGAATGCCATGTGTATTCTTCCCTTTTGGTTCTCTAACTCCAAGTCTTTGCACACTGCATTAAAATACTTTACTTTGTCTTCATGAGCCATCCTTTGAAATCTGCTGTTCAGCACTTTTACTTCTTCATTTCTTCCTTTTGCTTTAGCTATTTTATGTTCAAGACCAAGTTTCAGAGTCTCTTCTGATATAAATTTTGCTCTATCTTACCTGTCTTTTTAATTACCTTTTGCTTTCTTCATGTATATCCCTGATGTCATTCTATGACTCATCTGTTCTTCAGTCATTAATATTCTATGCACCAATTCTATTCATGAGATGGTCTCTAAATTCAGGTTGGTGATATACAACATCATATTTTGGCTCTCATGGATTTGTTTTAATTTTCTTCAACTTCAACTTACATAGGAGCAGGTGATGGCCTATTCCACATTCAGACCCTGGTCTTGGTCTCATTGATGATACTGAGTTTCTCCATCATCTCTTTCCACAGATGTAATCAATTTCATTCCAATGTACTCCATCTGGTATGTACCAAACTCACTGTCATTGAGTTGATTCCAACTCACTGTGACCCCCATTGGGTTTCCAAAGCTGTAAATATTTATAGAAGCAGATTGCCTCATCTTTCTTCTTCAGAGCAGCTGGTGGGTTCAAACCAATGACTTTTTTGTTAGTAGCCAAATGCCTTAACCACCGGCGTGTACAGTCACTGTTCATGTTGTTGAAAAGGTATTTTCAATGAGTAAGTTGATGATCTTGAAAGTTTCTATCATAGAATCTCTGGCATATTTTCTATCACCAAGGGCATATTTTCCAACTTCTGATACTTCTTGTTTCCAACTTTCATATTCCAATATCTAGTAATTATCAATGCAGCTTGATGTAAAGAATGTTTAATTATCATTGGAATATGTTGCTGTTGTTAGGTGCTGTTGTGTTGGCTCCAATTCATAGCGACCCTATGTACAACAGAATGAAACACTACCCTGTCCTATGCTATCTTCACAATCCTTGCTATACATCACTGCAGCCACTGTGTCAATCAACCTTGTTGAGGGTCTCCCTCATTTTTGCTGATCTTCCACTTTACCTGGTATGATATACTTCTCCAAGGAATGGCCCCTTCTAACA